CGCGGGAAGCGCTCTGCGGGCAGGGCCCGCGGGGGCCGGCGCCGTCCACGAGCCTGGTGTCGCCCTTCCAGGACGGACTCGGAGGCCGGCCCCAGCCCGCAGTTCAGCCTGGAGTCCTTCCCTCAGAAGATCTGCCTGATCTGCGGGGACGAGGCGTCCGGCTGCCACTACGGCGTCCTCACCTGCGGGAGCTGCAAGGTGTTCTTCAAGAGGGCCATGGAAGGTAGGGTGCCCCCCGTGCGCCATGGAGTGTAGGGTGCCCCCCGTGCGCCATGGAGGGTGGGGTGCCCCCCGTGCGCCATGGAGGGTGGGGTGCTCCCCAGAGTCATGGAGGCTAGGGAGGCCCCCCATGGAAGGTAGCTTCCCCCAGGCTCTGTGGCTGGAGCTCTCCCCAGAGACCATCCCGTAGTCTATAGGTGGTCTATAGGTGGCCATCGCCCAGGGGCTTCTATACAGCTTCAGGGACAGGATGGACCTGTAGCAATACCATTACCATGCACTTGCTCACAAAGCATTATAAAATCAAGCACCTGCACCCGGCCAATCTTTGAACAGAATCTGCAGGGTTTATTGATAAACTAGTCACAGGTTCCCCAGGACGGGGATTTTCTCCTGTAGGAGGTGATGTGGAATGGCCGGCAGGTGCAGAGGCAGGTGCAGAGCAGGGCCTCCTCCCCTGGCCTAGCTCTGTTTCCTGGGAGCACTCCCGTTTCCTGGGAGCACTCCCGTGCTAGGAGAGCAGCAGGCATTGACTGGGCACAGCTGCGCTCTGCCAGCACCTGTCACCCATCTGGGAATGCCCCGCTCTTGCTCTTGGGACACGGCTCTGGGCGGCATTTCCAGTAGTCAGTTGATGCGACCTGGTTGAGTAAGCGTAATGTAGTTCAGTTATTCACAGGACACGAGACCGGAGAGAGGCACTGGCGGGTTTTTTAATTGTGTTGGAATATCATCCACGTTCCTATTACTTACCACGAATTAAGGCACTCATTACGTTAGTTCATGCACCCCTTCATTCATTGTCTGCCGCCATGTCCAAACACTGAGCGGTGAGGGGTAAGAGCAATGAGAAGGAAGGGGAGAGTGGAACTTTCTAGCTAATTCCATGCATGTCACTGACCACAGAGGTGGCAGGTCGTTGGTTGCTGCAGTGCGTGGACAGAGCTGGGCTTCCTGTGGGAAGCGATGCCCACAGACAGAGCCAGCGAGACATACTCAGGCCATCCACAGGCCATGGTGGGAGCCGGGCAGAAAGGAAAACTCTTGTGAATGAAGTATTTCTTCTGGGTGCCACAGATCAATGGGACAGGGCAGTGGCACAGGTCCCTTCACAGAGCATCAGAGTCAGACAAACATTCAGCTCGTCATCACAGCAGTGTGAGTTGTTTGCCTTTTCTATCTCTCACCGTCCACACAATCATCCAGTAATCCCTCCACTATAATTTATTTGATGAGTGGTTGGGTCTTTGAGAAGGCATTTTACCAATCATCCCATTTCATTTGCTTTCCGACACAGTCTACCCTTTGGCAGTTTTCCTATGATCCTAAATGTAAACACGTAGATACTGACTAGCTTTCACGCCAAGCTCCATACCCAGGTTTCTTCTCAGTTTACTATTGAGCGTGAAGGAGCCATGGCACGGTGACCTGTCGAAGCCACCCTCTGCTATACTGAAAACTACATCGTGACAGATGGCATCTGGTGTCATGACTTCAACCTTCTGCTCTTGCTCTGGCTTGAGTCCTTGTACTTCTAGTGACTCAAGTGACTCAGGTGATACAACAATACACTCTCCTTTAAAAAAACAGAAACACTAGCCAGGTGCTGGTGGCTCAGGCCTGTCAACCTAGCTATTCAGGAGGCTGAGAGCTGAGGATCGCAGCTCAAGGCCAGCCAAGGCAAGAAAGTCTGTGAGATTCTTATCTCCAGTAAGCTACTCAGAAAAAGCCAGAAGTGATGCTGTGGTGTAGGGGGTAGAGTGCTAGCCTTAAGCATAAAGAGACTCAGGGACAGTGCCCAGGCCCCAGTTCAAGCCCCAAGACTGTCAAAAAAGAAAAAAGAAAAGAAAGGGGGGAGGACAGAGACACTGCCAATAATGTAAAGGTCCTATTTGATCAATAATGAAATTGTGTGTGTGTGTGTGTTAGAGGGGGACTGCTAGCAAGTGTTCTACCACCTGAGCCGTGTGTGTGTGTGTGTGTGTGTGTGTGTGTGTGTTAGAGGGGGACTGCTAGCAAGTGTTCTACCACCTGAGCCGTGTGTGTGTGTGTGTGTGTGTGTATGTGTGTGTGTGGGTATGGTAGAGGGGGACTGCTAGGAAGTGTTCTACACCTGAGCCGTGTGTGTGTGTGTGTGTGTGTGTATGTGTGTGTGTGGGTATGGTAGAGGGGGACTGCTAGGAAGTGTTCTACCACCTGAGCCGTGTGTGTGTGTGTGTGTGTGTGTGTGTTAGAGGGGGACTGCTAGCAAGTGTTCTACCACCTGAGCCGTGTGTGTGTGTGGGGGGGGTATAGTAGAGGAGGACTGCTAGGAAGTGTTCTACCACCTGAGCCGTGTGTGTGTGTGGGGGGGGGTATGGTAGAGGGGGACTGCTAGCAAGTGTTCTACCACCTGAGCCGTGTGTGTGTGTGTGTGTGTGTGTGTGTGTGTGTGTGTATGTGTGTGGGGAGGTATGGTAGAGGAGGACTGCTAGGAAGTGTTCTACCACCTGAGCCAGGCCTCCAGCCACGGACTATTTTTCAGATAGGGTCTTGTGCTTTTCTTACGCCAGCCTGGGGCCCTGGCCCTGCTGTCTCCAGGTCCCATGTGGCTGGGATTAAAGGCATGCAACACCATGCCTGATCCAATAGTACTCATCTTTTCCTTCCTTTGTGAGTCTCCTGTATCTGCACCTCAATTTTTACCTGTGTGTATATCGTGCATGCTTAGGATGTGTTACCAATACCACATGCAAGGTATGTGTTGCCCTGCTTTTTCATGGATCCCTAAGCCTGTTTGTATTCATACATGAATTAAGGAATCTGTGACTACAGAGGCAAGCACAGCCGGCCTACAACCCCTCCCACAGTCACTGGGTTCTGTTCTAGACACGGGTCCACAGCACCTGACTGACTCGATTCAAGCAGAACTCACGTTTGGGTATTTTGTAGTCCCCAGGAACGTCCGTATATTTTTCTGCATAAAAATGTTTCCTTGTGATGAGTTGTTTTCTATCATCTTTCTAAAGTACCAATGGTTCTTAATTTTTAAACACAACTTGCCCCAAAAGGGAGGTGATTGGGCCTTGTTTTTATGAGACTCACCAACAGGACAAGTCACCTTGCAGAAAAGAGTCTCTTAGACTCTGAGGAGAGGAGCTCAGCCTTGTGCAAGTACCAGAAGCTTCTATGTAGGGAGGAGGACACAGGCCCCCATCAGAAAGTCAGCTAGAGCCTGGCTCATGTACTTCCCAGCGTGCAGAAGAGTACGGCAAGGATTTGTACCCGTGTAAGCCAGGCGGCTCGCGGAATTCTGTCCCATTGCCCCAGTGGACTAAGTACTTAGAACCTGAGGACAAACAGTGAGGCCACGTGGTTCATGCTGTGGTCAGACACAGGTTGTCTGTAAGGTCTTGTGGTACACCCTGTGATCAGGCACAGGTTGTCTGTAAGGTCACGTGGTTCATGCTGTGGTCAGGCACAGGTTGTCTGTAAGGTCTTGTGGTACACTCTGTGGTCAGGCACAGGTTGTCTGTAAGGTCACGTGGTTCATGCTGTGGTCAGGCACAGGTTGTCTGTAAGGTCACATGGTTCATGCTGTGGTCAGGCACAGGTTGTCTGTAAGGTCACGTGGTTCATGCTGTGGTCAGGCACAGGTTTCTGTAAGGTCTTGTGGTACACTCTGTGGTCAGGCGCAGGTTGTAAGGTCACGTGGTTCACGCTGTGGTCAGGCACAGGTTGTCTGTAAGGTCACGTGGTACACGCTGTGGTCAGGCGCAGGCTGTAAGGTCACGTGGTTCACGCTGTGGTCAGGCGCAGGTTGTAAGGTCACGTGGTACACGCTGTGGTCAGGTGCAGGTTGTAAGGTCACGTGGTTCACGCTGTGGTCAGGGGCAGGTTGTAAGGTCACGTGGTTCACACTGTGGTCAGGCGCAGATTGTAAGGTCACGTGGTTCACGCTGTGGTCAGGCACAGGTTGCAAGGTCACGTGGTTCACGCTGAGGTCAGGTGCAGGTTGTAAGGTCACGTGGTTCACGCTGTGGTCAGGCACAGGTTGTCTGTAAGGTCACATGGTTCACACTGTGGTCAGGCGCAGGTTGTCTGTA